CCAATGCATGCGTACTACATATTTGTTTGTATCTAATATCCAGAATTCGATATATTTAATAAACAGCAATTAGATTGTTGAATTAGAATTCTATTTTTTAAAAAAGTTTTTGAAGACCCTTACGCACGATGCCATTGGTTACTATATCATTATGGACTGATTTTAATCGCGATTTTAATGTTTTTAATTTTTTTTTACTTTGCCTTATCATTTGAACAACTGTGTAAAATGGTCTTTCTAGGAAACTTCGGCGATCTGTAAGCACACTTTATGGTACGATTTACAATAAATAATGTGGCTCTTTTAAAAAGCGACAAAGGTTTTCTGAGTTCCTTTTTTATTTACTTTCTTTTAACATCCGTACGTTTATAACTAGTCGTTTTTTCTTCTCTCAAAAACGCCAATAAGGTTTTGCTTAGTAAAGAAGCAAAGGTTTGTTTTAAGTTTTTGTAAGTGTAAACGTTTCGTTTACGTTTTGTAAATGTGTTTAAGTGTTTAAGTATAAACGTAAGAACTAATAACTTTATCAAATTTTTTTAGAGTGCGAACGTAAAAGTGTAAAGTGTTGACGCGGTTGTTATCGATCAACCAAACATGAAGTGCTGACATTTATTAACCAAGTCGATACCGCGTATTGTTATTTATGTCAAAACAATTGATTGATTTTTTAAAAAAAAAGATTATTATATTTATATAATATCTGTGCGTTTTCTTTATATCACGTTCGTTGTTCAGATAATTTTTCATGTAACAACAGCCAATCAATTAGCTGGGTATTTTTAAAATAGTAATGAATAATAGTAATAATCATATGAAAATTAAAATATGATGATGTGAATAGTATCAAAAAAGGAAATCAAATTAAACTTTTTGAAGTATTACGTGGTTCACACGTCGGACTTTAAAACCACCATTAAAACCGAGAGTAATAGTAAACTGCGTGATAAAACGAAAACGCCGCTTTAATTTAAATCTTTGTTGCAAGCTATACATTGTCGGCTAAATACAAGAGTAAAGTGAGATACAATTAAATTGATTTACTACCTATTGAAATCTTTGTAATTATAATTTATTGTCATATATTTGCTTTAATGTTATTAACTATTATTATTAATATAGTTTATTGAAAGATATTATAAGAGTTGATTCATTCATTATCTAAAAGAAGTTTTATTAAATCATCAAACATTTTTGTAAATAATATTTTTTAAATAAGCTCAAAATGTCACTAATCGATTACCTTTGTTAGAAAAATTGTTCCGCCACATTATTGTAAAAATTTTTTGTTAACAAAGTCAAGATTCGAAG